TGCAGGAAAATCTTAAAACGTGTGCACTGAAAAAGTAATAAATTAGTGTGTCATAGACTGAATGGAAATTAATGTTCCGTTTCATTTGAAAAACCGTTGAGGTAAAGGGAATGCACAATTTACAGCTTACTGTTATCTAATCAGCACAAGTCAAGCTTCTTCGTCAACTTATAAAACGTAATGCTGTAACATCCCGACATGCGATAAAAAGGATTGCGTATTTTATCACAGCAAGTGAGCGAGTGTAAACCAGTCTGAAATTATGCCCTTTTTAACATGAAACCTATGGAGAAGTAATATGTTAACAGCTCGCAGGAGTATCTCGCGGCGACCGATCAATGTTGGTTGGCGATGTGCGTGTGAAAATATTCCGTGAACCTCGCTAGCTTTAAAAATGCGGTCTTTAAATACCAGGATGTTCATGAGTGACACTTTGAGTTTGTTGTAGATTTGATTCATGCGTCTGTATTATGCGAACTGCTTGGGTGTTGATGTCGGATCAGTTGTTGCAAGTGAACGACTGATTGACTTTTATCATAAATGATGACTCTGGTCGTCTATGCTCAATATGTGCTCCTGAACGTCCTGGTGGTCTATGATGTTCCCCACGAGATTGGATTCGTTTGCTACTCAGTCGTTGAAGTTACGACTGATTGACTTTTATCATAATTGATGACTCTGGTCGTCTATGCTCAATATGGGCTCCTGAACGTCCTGGTGGTCTATGATGTTCCCCACGAGATTGGATTCGTTTGCTACTCAGTCGTTGAAGTTATAAATTCTTAATTTTAGTTTTTTCTGGTTGTGCAAGCTTCTAACGCTCCTAATTTTAATTAGCCCTCAGGCAGTTCACCTCTTCTATCTCGGCTTCTGCCGTTATTCTAGTTTTCTTGTATTCGTTCGTTTTCTTGCGTAACTATCGTTTTGTAGTGACCCAGATCTGTCCATTACGTGTTTGAATTTTTTTCGTGTAAGAAAACTGAACGCTCTTGTAATTTCATCAAGTGAAACACTAACATTGCTTTTTACACGAACGTTGTTCACTTTGACATTATCGCTACCTGGCCTTTAAAGGCGCGACCCATGCAGTCTGCGTCTGCACACGTCTAAACGGTGTGTTTCTATGTCATCGCCTTTCCAAGCTCTTTCTTGTGAAAGTAACTAATGACAATTTGGTCATATGTTGCCTTACATGACCATGGCGCTTACAAGGTACTTATCTGATGATCCTTCAATCTCGTATAATAATACAAATGCAACCAGATAACGGAAATTTTATCGCAGCTCAATCTTTACGCTTATTTCTTTCAGTGTTGTAACATTAAACAGTGAAAAGCGAACATTTCATTCATCACGCTTGAGATTATTCTTGAAGAGGATGTATTACATTGTGCACGGTCGCAACCTTACTAGACTCAGAACTCGAGAGTATTAACATCACTCTAGGGTTGCAAGTGCAACTGAATGGCTTAGATATTGATCGATAAACTTTGGAGTCCTGATGATTCTCAATTGTATATTCAATTCACGAAGCAACAACAATTTCAGGTTTAAGCTTAAATTTTGCCCCGATCTTTGATTCAAGATGATCGTGGAACGATCACTCGCGGAATTGTGAGCTCCTGACAATAGCTGCAGCTGGCGACATTGCATGGGTGTGCTTGGTAGCCGCCGCCATTGAGAGAGCGCGGCCGATCCTAGCGTCGGGAATAGCACGACGATTACTGGTGTCTGTGACGCACGCCTCCCCGTGCTGCTCAGTGAGATGCTAGACAAGCGTTACTTCTGGCGTTGGAACCTCTTGGCTAATGGTTCCATTTAGCAGAGGACCTAATAAACATTTCCGGTTGCAGGTACATAGTAATTTCTCCTTTAATTCACTGCGTACTTCAAATGAATTCTGTACAACTCTGTAATTGTTACATTATTTTGCCACGATGCGTTTAAAAATTTATTGCATTCAAGTTTCAAGTCCATAAAATAAAATATTTGTGTTGAAATAGGTCTTCAACTAATTTCAAATCATTAGGCTACCGGTAAAGGCTGTGGACCGATCACTACGAGTTCCTCGTTGAAATGTGTTCCTACAACTCGATCAGAACCTAAACTTCTCAATGTGCCGACTCGTAAATGTATACCAATGAACCAAACTCGAAGCGTTGTAAACTTGGAGACTTTATAATAACAAGTTGATTAAACAAACGAAGATCTCAAATCAATGCTAGGAAATGACATGGCCGACATGGCAGAGGGTTGGCAACTTGTGACGTCGAACAGTAGATATATCACAGGAAATTCCTGTGAGGCAGACAGCAAGCGCTTGCCTGTCTGCCTGTGCTGGCAACCCAACTTGAAAGTTAAACTTGTCCAATGTTCGTCCAAATTAATTTTCATAGATAATATTATATTCTATGCTTTAAAAAAATTGAATACAATTAATTAATCTTGTTACTTGAGAGTCCTTATATTTTCATTTGAGTACCGATTTGAGGTTAGCCATCTTAACTTCATTTAAATATCGTATAACTTTCCTGCACAATTTCAACAAGCCATACCAAAATTTACCTGCCTCTCAGTAGCAAAGCAGCGTTCAGGAAATGTTAACAACGTTTATCTTTATAACCGCGATGCCGTGGTTTATTGAGGGTCGTATTTTGATTAAAGGTTGATCCCTCATGAAGAGGTGTTTAGTAATGATCGAACTGTACATAATTGTCGCCGGCTTGATATCGCTAAAGACACGGAAGCCGGCGGGCTGGAGGCTGCAATGCTCCAGTGAGTCATGGCGCTTGCCGAAGCCGGCTGACTCAGGCTGTTTCACGGCCATGAGCTGCCTGGCATGGCGGAGGCACGTGATCCACCGGCTGAAGCCTTCAGGCAGCCTGTCGTCCTCTTCACACTTTGCGTATAGTATTTTACATTTTTCAATTGATTAGTTTAGAATGCTAATAAACATATTGTTCAATTTTGCATCCGATACGTATCTTTTATTATGAATTTTAAAACGAAATCGCTTTTATTTTTAACTAGCTGTCTGTGGGCTTGACCGCCATGCAGCCACATGGCTCAGCTGTTCAGCAGCCAAGTGGCTGGCTTCTTCGTCACGTAACCCCTATTCCTTTAATTACAGGAAGCTGGTGTTGAATGGCTCCCTGGCTTGTCTTAATCAACTCTCTTTATTAGAGAACCTTGCGCTAAACGCATATAATTCTTCCGAGATTTAATATGTTATTTTGGCAGTCATTTCAAGGTCACGTGTTATTCAAGGAAAACCTTTGTTTTCAAGTTGTTGCTTTCGATATTTGAGAAGGTAAAATTAACGTTCATCCTTGAATGTTGATGCGTATGTCCTATGAAGCTATTTCATTTTGCCCCATTACGTTTTGGCTGTATGGTCACTGAGCGAGCTTTATGCAAAGCGAGGACAGGATGCGTCCGGTTCATTTGGTTGCTCCGTCCTATTGCTCGAGTTCTATTTTAGAGAAACGCTCATGTCTACGTCCCTGGTAGACATTGTTGAATCTCTTTTCATGGCCCTGTTATTCAATAAACGACCTCAATCCTCTGTCCCGTCACGCTGTTTCCAGGTTTTCTTTGTTCTGTGGCGCTAGACTTTGTATGGTCGGTTCCTACTCCGTGACTGACAAGAATCATCGGTGCCACTTGTTCAATGTAAAGTTGTAACTATCGTATTGGCATTGCTTTGTCATTGAAATGGATGCAAAATCGTGTGTAACAAAATCACTTCTAACTTAGCTTCACGATGTCGCCTCTGGAAATATAATTAATGTTGAGCAGTCAAATAGTCATAAAATTGTCGATGAATCAAATTATAGTGACTACTTGTCATACGATTCGTATTGATTATACTGTTACGTTAACGCTTCGTCGTTCTTCTGAAGGAAAAGTTGGAAAAAATGCTTCTTTCTCTATAATCTATAAAATGTACTGGTTAACCGTCACTAGTTACTTCATACATCTGAATTATTTCACCGTTTCTTTAGGTATAAACAACTAAATTTTTTCACAAACATAAAGTTTATGTCAACAGGGGTCGATTTTTCAAAGTTCAGATATTCAACACTCGAGTCGTTCATGATTTGTAGTGCGTGATATTGAAGTTACTCCTGTCCCTCGAGAATTTTCTTCGTTGCGAACCGAGTTTTCTATGAAACATTCTAAATCACGAGCTTTGAATTGTACTGCAAATGAGGTCTATGGGAATTGAGACACGGTTTTCAAATTCCTTCGTTGGTCATTAGATTGGGAGAGCATCGGAGGCAAGGACTAGAGATTATATTTTTAAATTACTCCCATACATTTTGCGCCTCTATGTGGCTAAAAATCTTGCACAGGGTCTTTTATTGTCATATTGACCGGGCTTACCCGTAAACTATAAAGTTTAGGTATAAATTAAATGAAATGCAAATGATGAGCTAAGTCGTCTCGCTTCTTTGCACACTAATATGGTTCTTGGTTGCTCTATAATCTCCATGTTAAATAAGTGCGTGTCTTTTGAAGAGGATGCCCTGATGTATGTTCTACTAATATTGATTGATAATTTGTTATTACTGAGTCAGCTAAAAAAAAGCTGTAATACCTGCGTTACTGAAAAATTGTGTGAAAGTACGGCATTTTTGGGCGTTGAATCCGACAAGCAATTAATTATGAATGTACGAATGTGAGTAACCTTCACTTAAATGAGGCTTTGATAACGCCGTACACGATACCAACGAGTTTAGCCATTGGACTTGTATTTAAAAGCTTGTTGTGATAAGGTTCTTATTTGATTATATGGCAATTGGACCTAATATTCAAATAATGGGGAACATCGGCATATGTCAATCAACGCTATTGAGATCATATCGATGATGTTTCGTGCAGTCATTTTAGTGTGGGGTTGTGTTCGCCTCGGTTCCACGCGCTAGAATTTGCCACACGCAGCGCCATCTGTAGCCGTTATTGAGTAACATCGGCACTGCCGAGTTTGAAGCTGAACAACTTCCATTCTCGGGCGAGTACTCTTGTAGGGAGGTGTGCGTGGTGTGTGTGCTCGTGACGCGTGCATTTTAACTCTTGAGCAGCGCGTACATTGTTATTCGTATCAGAAAACCACAAATAATACCATTGTGTAACGGTTGTTATAAGTGCATTAGTAAATAAAGTTCACAATTATGGAAGGAGATAGCATGACCGCTCCTGGAAAGACAGCCATCAATGGTTCAGCTGACGGGACGACAGCAGCGTCAGGCAAGGCAGGGCCGAGCCTTCGCTCTATAATTCAGCCTGGTAAGTTCAAATTACAGAATCTCTGGAAGGAAATTTTATTTCATTCACGAGTTTTCGGTAAAGTGGAGCTGTAGCATGACCAGCCGTAATATTAGATTAACGGTTCCTTTCTGGTTGGTTTCTTTTCTCATGCTTTGTCTCTACCGCTCTCTGCTTTACCTCTAGGCATCACGCGTTTGCTGCGCAAATAATTTTTAAACTGTTAGAGCAATACCACTGAATTATGGCAATAGTGAATAACACTGAGCAAAACTGAATTGGAAAAAGGGTCCTTTTTTATGCACTGGATGCCTAACGTTGATAATATGCCAAGAATGCACTCGCCACACTTACATCCCGGTGCTAAGACCGTCTCGCCTGTTCCTTTGAACCACGCAGGTAAAACAGCCGTACTCGTCTGGGGTAAACGTGAACCTTTTTTTTCAATTTTCAGTCTCTCAGTTGACAGCGGCAGAATGAGCTTGATCGAGACTTCGAGAGTTCATTGATTTATAGTCTAAAGGTCATATATCTAGGTTCGACTGGTGCGTTATATATACCCATTCGTTTTGCATATTGCTTTAAAAAATAAAATCTTAGCGTGTTATATCCAAATAATTTCTGCATCTTGGTTGGTGGGTGTGGCGTTATCGACCCTAAACGAGGCCTACTTGCGCGCGTATCGTTTGAGTATCGTTTCATCTGTGATACTCTCGCTGTTGACGAGAACATACTGACTTTTACCAGTCAATTTCGTTAATTTATTGTATTTCATGTTATATTGTCATGTTTAATAGTTTCTGCATATTCCCGGCAGGCGGAAATCTTGATTTACGCTTCAATGATGTTGTTCACATAAGTGAATGTTGGGCTCAATTTTTTTTTCTCTTTTGTTCATGACATTAACCTTTTTCTGAACCCCTCATGGCATCTTTAGTTTAGACGTACGGTAGATCTAAAGACAATAAAAGCACGCGAAACTTAAGTGTCAGTATGGCCTTATTGATCATCGATACAGCAATCTGCTTGCCATGTCTCGTTGCCACAGTGAGCATGAGTCTTGTGACGAGCTGCCCGCACAATGTGGCTCGTTTTCGACGTTGGGTAAAACCATGGATGCGAAATTAGTGAGCTGTTTCCATATTTATTGGGCACGTAGTCCAGTTGGTAACTTAGATAACACTAGTTTAATTCTGTCATGCTCCTTCAGAGGTCATTGCAGCAAGAAGTTAAAAATTGTGGAGTATTTCTCTCCATGTAAAGTAATGTGGTCGGCTGTTGAAATGCATGTCAAATGCCAGTTGAAATGCACGTCTGTCGTAGCGGCCGTCACGGTCCCGATATCTCATGGCCGGCGAAAATAACACCGGACCTTTGGCCGATGGCCAGTGATCTCGTGTACTTTGCTACTCGTCGCACACTTGCATTGTATTTCTTGTTGCCTTTCGTACGCTCGATGTCTGTTACCCTTTACCATGTTACCTCGTCTCGAACGTTTCTCGACTAGATTTGCCCAGCAGGGACACTAGGACTGCTCTCGGTAAAGTGGTTTACATTGATGCTGTGCAGGCAGGCGTTTGGTATGTCTGCGCGTACTTGCTTGTATCGTTAGCTGGTCCAGTGAGGACTTGTAAAACATCCGCGCGATATATTCGATTGTTTGTGTGGGGTCTCGAACATGATTTGTATGTAATTCTTGAAAAATGGCTTTATTACAGATTGCAATGCTTCCATGGAACTCCTCTGTACTCTGGGTTCTTACTTCTTACTAATACCTATCAAATACGGTACTGGATGGAGACTGCCATTACACAGAAGCCAGTTTAAACATTTAGACTCCTGTATCGTAATGGTTGTGAGCTTTATGAAGACTTCTGTCACACGATTTTTAATTACTGAGTACTGGATTGAAAATTCATAGAGAAGCGTTTGAGTCCTGTGACGACCCAAAAAGATTGCCTTGACACGATTACTGTGGCAATGAAAATTTAGCGCTGGAAAAGGCATTCAATTTGTTGATTATGTTGGGTTCCGAATACGCTTTCTGAATTTCCTACACTATAGTATTGACTTATCGACGACATGCCTTTGTCGAGCTGGCGTACTGCCTGCGGTCTCATCTGCTGCTGCTGCTGCTGCTGCTAGCGCCGCTGCTACATCCTCGCTGCTCGCGAGACTACGGCCTTGACAGATCATTGCTGTTGCTATTGCTTCTGAGCTCTGCGCTCCTTTCCTGTAGACATCGCATTAACCTGTTCTCCTGTCTTCTGCAATTTTAATCAACTTGCATGAAGTTAACCTATAAGGTAAAAGACGTTTTAGGTAAATCATCCGGAGTCATGGCATTTGTTCGTTAAACCTGCCTCTAAGCATAGTCTGTTATTTTGAACGCATTTTTCAAGTTATTAATGAAATTTCAATTAGTATTGTTGTATGTGTTTTTTCACGAACTTTTTCTTGTTTTTTAATCCGGCGGTCGAACAATGTTCAGCGAATTAGAGTGTGGCGAGGCAACTCTTGTCTCGTCCGCAGCCAGTTTCTTGTGCGTGTTCGCTGCTTTCAGCGTCTCTCAATTATCCAGTTTGCCCACCGTCGTGCGCCTGCATGGCGTTGTTGCTGATGCTCATCGCCGTTCCGTCGGAAGCTCATCTTATCATGAGTATTTCCAAATAAGATGAATCGCGAGAGTTTGAATACTTCGACAAAAGAATCTCGTGGAGGAGTACAGGCTTTGATATTTTTTCTATTTTTTTTTCCATCCTGCACAACCTTTTATTGCAGGAATATGCCCTGTAATATTCTGTTGGCTTAGTCGTAGCATTTCTTTTTATCTCTGCGTATAGTGATATCTTTATTATGAATCCGCGCTTGAGGTTAGCATTGTCCAGTTTTCGCCGTAAAACGGGGAAAATTTTCAAATTCAACGACAAACGTAACGGTTTAGTGCGAATATAGTAAAAATGACTGAAAGTTTCGACGAATATGAAACTATCAATTGTTCATTTTATCCCGCGTCCACGACTGACATTCCTTCTTTTCTGTATCTCACTTCGGTATGCTTTCTTCTTCGTTTTAATTCACATATGAACACTAAATTGTGAATGCACTGGTTCCGGAGATTTTTTTTATGCTGATCGTAAACAACTTGACACTTGAATTTGAATTGCACTCGTTTGTATTGTCTTTTTCTCATTTCGTGTTATTTTTATGAGTGAACTTGGATGCATTCTCTTATTCCAATGCTTTAGCGGTTATTTCTAAGTTTTATTTTTCACAGTATTCTTTGATTAGTGCAGGTTAACATTGAGTTAAATGAATCAATAATAGTAAAAATTACTGAAAGTTTTGACGAATATGAAACTATCAATTGTTCATTTTATCCCGCGTCCACGACTGACATTCCTTCTTTTCTGTATCTCACTTCGGTATGCTTTCTTCTTCGTTGTTTTAATTCACATCTGAACACTAAATTGTGAATGCACTGGTTCCGGAGATTTTTCGTTTTTTTGCTGATCGTTAACAATATGACACTTGAATTAGAATTGCACTTGTTTGTTTTGTCTTTCTCATTTCGTGTTATTTTTAAGAGTGAACTTGGATGCATTCTCTTCTTCCAATGCCTTAGCGGTTATTTCTAAGTTTTATTTTTCACAGTATTCTTTGATTAGTGCAGGTTAACATTGAGTTAAATGAATCAATTGTGCACTGCCAGCTTATGGTCAATTTCTGAGGTTCATATTAGTTCATGAACTTCATTTGATATCGTACAGATTAGTCAACAATTTTTTTGTGATAAAAAACTATCTTTAGGTCATATTTAATTTAGAGCACTTCTGTGCCTCCTGTCTTAGAGTTTAGTAACTGTGAATTTTATTTAAATTAACTGAAACTGAAACAGTAGTACGATTTATCATAGGTGTTATTTGTACTTCAGTCAATTTTAGTTGTATTTGCCTGGCGGACAAGGCCTAGGTACATACATAAATAGCTGGAGTAGGTTGACAACAACATCGTCAGCCAAAACCCACCGAAACTAGTTATGTCTAGTCGTTTTTCCTTGTTGTGCTAGTAGGGTTTGGTGTAGAGTTTAGTGCAATTAGTTCCAATGGGGTTTTAAATGTTTTCTAAACCTAATATTTAGATGCTAAACTAATAAGTGCTCTCTAAATTCTGCCGCTTAACCACAAACAATCAATCATTTAACTGCACAGCTAATATCAAACCTCGTCACCCTTTTTGGCATTTCTACCTTGCGGTTTACTGCACTCGTTTCACTTGAGCCCGTGTCTAACAAATGAATGTGTTATGCCTGTCACTAACTTCTCCTACCGTACATTTCACGCTGCTCCTTGACGCTCCGGTTGGGTGTGTGCTGCACTGCTTACTCCCTCTCAGGCGCTGTCTTCCACCCTGAGCTACTCGACCCTCGAGGTACGTACTTACTCACCTCTGAATGCACTCCACTCAAGTACGTTGCTTGCTCCAGAATTCTCTACCTATTTTTGATGTACCATCAAATACTTTAATCCGAATTAAATAATGTTGATCACTTGATTTCTCGTCACAAGTCTTTTCCTCACATATTCTTTATGGCACGTTTTTTATATGAAGTTTACACATCACCCATATGTAAGTTATAGATTCCCTGTGTACTCAAAACAGGTTCTATCTTATTTGCGCTGTCGGCATTTGTTGCATTTATCACTCTTGTCTCTCCATATATTCTTGTTGATGGTTCGCCTAAACAACGAAGAAACTGATTTATTGTTTCCTACAAGGACCTGACATTTCCATATCTTACAAGGGTTACGAGGCAGTCTTATTTTCTTTGAGATTATTTTTTATTCTGTTACCTCTCTTCGTTAATAGTTCTAGACTTGGTGATGCTATATCCTCGGCCTTATTTGCAAATTTGCCAAGGTTTTCCCCGTCACCCTTGAAAGGCTTCAACCCTTGCGTTATTTTTGGGACCCAACGATCAATGCTGAACTCGACTAGCGTTACAGTGCCGGTCAAATCTCATTCTCGACGTCTCATGACACCGGTGCTTTACCTCCAAGGTGTGCTCAGGTCGCTCTCTAGGACATGATCCACATGTATTGGAAACTTCATCTGTACATCTTCGATGCGAAAGAAATTCCCTGGGCGTGAAAACTCCAAAGTACATGAAGTCTGACCTGAAAGGTTTGGATGAATGAGCATTTACTGAAAATGTCCAACGATCAAGGTTCCATTCCTCACGTTAGTGAAAAAATTTTTCGTGCTGCTATTCCGGTTTAACAATACTGCTAGCGGCTAAAACGTGCTCCTTGATTTTTTCTGTTTTTGCAAAGCATGGTGTTGATCGATGCACATGAATAATCGAGTATGCCAAGCCTACGGAAGTTTGAATACGTGGCTGAGGCTCGCACTTGAGGCCTGGAAGCGGACATGCCGTCTGGACAGATGACGTCACCGAATGTATTGCGCCACGCCTCGGTGTCGCGCCTGCGTGCTCTCGCTCAACTCTACCCCCCTTGCAGACAACTCTTCGTCATGATGGCGTGATCAGCCCGTGGCTGTCTACACCCTATTCACTATGAGCCACGAGTGTTGTGAACCTTAGTGAACTTATCGGTTGCCACCGAGACTAAAGCTCTGGACCAATAGAACGCCTGCCGACGTTTGGGGGAAGGGAGTTATTGATCCGGTACTCCCTGTACCTGCCTCCCCCACGGCTGACTCCAACATCAAATGCTTTTATTTGTTTCTTGACTCATCAGTACGTTGCATGACTCCTATTTGGGTATGAACTATTCATTCCTCTGTCATGACTCTGGGCATCATGGACAGCAATATTTTGAATTTATCATGCAATGTGTCCTGTTCGGTCAAGAAAGGATTGGTTGTCTTGTTTTGTTTTTCTCGGTTACCTGCATCACTGTTCATTTGTATAAATTAGATAAGAAGAGGCACATTTGAAGAACATCTTGTGTGTTTTTCTCATTTATTCACCAATTTTTGAACTCATTTGACAGCTATTCTGATGAGACTGCAGAGTGATCGTGATTGGCTCTCATGAATAATATGCCATGAATCGAGGTTTTCCGTTCCTACACTGCCTGCATATCACAAAAATGCATTTAATATACCGGTTCACCTTCATCTCAACTTGGATCTAGTATGATTGGTACATTGGCTAGGAGATACGTGCTGCTGACGAGTGAAGAAGAAATCTGTCTTGGTTCCTTGCCAGCCAAGAGTAGTGTGATGTTGGTGGGCGTTAGATAATTGTCTACTCTCGATTTATTGATGGTGATACTCAAGTTACCTACTTTCTTCTTGAGACTTTCACCAGCTCATTATTTTGAAATGAACTCAAGACTTAAGATGACCATTAATAAGGGTGGGGTCTTTTCGTGGCATTAGAGATGCAGAAGTTTAGCGCAAGATGTTTCCTCACCTGGCTGGCTGCGCGGTGCCGGCTGCCGCTGGGAGGTGACGGCAGGCGGCCTGCTCAGCAGGCAGGGAACCGCTCGTGTCAGTCGAGTCTTGCTGGCTGTGCTGTGTCGTTCTATCGGGGCACTCACCGAACTTGTCGATTCTTTTTGAGCCTTCAGCCTCCAATCTGGCACTTGTTGAAATATTCGGGGTACTCTTTATCGTTCCTAGTGGTTGTAATCAACGCGCTTTTGTCGTGTCAAGTAAACTCCTCTAGCAAATTGTAGAGTTTCATTATTAATGTTCGTGAGTCATTTGTGGTGAAGTTCAGTCCGTGTTCAGTGCCAAGACACCTGTTGTGAGTCCTACACCTGTTCAAACACTCTCGTCTGAGACTACTTCATCCCTCGGAGGCTCATCTTTCAGCGACATGGAGAACACGGCACCATCATCATGCTTATGTAAGAATCAACCAGCGTTATCAGTAACAAATGCTTGAACTTAACTAAGTGAACTGTCAGCTCTTTTGGGCAGGTTTTATGTGACATTTTAAAGTGTTCAAGTATGAACAATTCTTGCACAGTGTTTTTATAATTGGTTTGTGTTGCCACAGGTAGATGAATGAATGTTATCACCTGTACATCATCAAATTTATTAATCTTGCTGTACGTTTGGCAATAGCAACAATGAAGATGAGAGTTTTGTTTTTTTTTTCAGTTCAGCCCTTCATTTACACACGTGCTTTTTATTTTGGTCTTGACCAAAGCTTGTACTTAACTGACAATCATGCTGAATTAGACTGTGCTCTTAATTACCATCGGTTTTTGGTAAGAGCATAAACGCTTTTACCATTGCTTTGCCATGCTTTTATTGACTTGTTATCGTGCATGTAATCGCTTCTGACAACCTGGTTCAACTTGTAATCTTGAGCCTTTCAGAATTGTACCGTGTACTTTGGTGGTGTGAAGTGCTAAAGCTGTCACCCTGGTGGTACTTTGATCAGATGCGTTGAAAATCAACTACACTATTGTCCTCACTTGCGTATCGCTTCGTTACGATGGAAAATAATAATGCACACCTTGCATCTAGTCAACATCGATTTGCTTGTGTCTTCATCGATAATATCGTGTCAAGTCACATTAAATCAAATAATGCAATATCTCTCGAAAGTTAGTGTTCATTCCAGCGACTTTTTCACACTTTAAAATGTTTGTTTGAACTTATATAACTAGAATTAAATTGAAGTGCTATTAAATGTACTTTAGCACTAGACGGAAAAAGGATTCGTCTCGCATTCATAGCGAATTTTGTAATGGTCATCGGTGTGCGATGCTCGTGCTGTGCAACGTTACGAAAGCTTGGTACAAAGGATGTTAGATGACCTTGCTGCTCTTTGCATTTGACGGCGTGCAATGATAATTATGTCTTATTTAAACACATCGTTGAAAAACAAATACAGCTGCTAATTTATTTGGAATCGACAATCATTGGACACTTGTGGAACTTGTCACTTCAAAGCAATGGCCTTGGTTTCTGCTCTAACTTTACAGTTGCCGCCTTTTCTCCTACACCAAAACACAACGCCTGTCTTAAAAAAACTATATTTTTGTAAGTTACCATAAGAACTGTCATAGGCCCTGTGGTTGACGACTTATGTAAGTAATGTGAAATCTTCTGGAAGGCAGGAAAATTCTTAATATGTAAAAGGCGAGAGCTGCAGTCCCGTCTCGCTTCGTCGGGCGATAGTGGTCCGACACCGATTTACTCTTCCGTCTGGCAAGATTCAACGATTAATGTTTCATAGAACTACTACAAATATTTTGAGGAACTACAAATATTCTTAAAGATATTATGGTCAAGTTTTATTAAACCTTGTAGGATTGGATAGGTACAATTGTACCTCAACTCGTTGATGGTATAGCATAGTTGAATTATACAGAATGACTTAAGGTTTAACACATCGCACACACAGAACGAGAACAGCTGTCATCTTTGACTTATCATAAAAATTCTTGGCAGTCACAGAGAGACCGTCGATTGGATGTCATCGAACGAGACATTCTTGTCCTGCAAGTATTTTTTCCGAATTTTACTACTTTGTTTAATGACCGTAACTCTCGTTACCCGGCCTTTAGATGCGATCTTTTTATATATTCGCATTTGTATTGGTATTCGCCGTTGTATTGGTAAATGATACAACTTCACGAATATCTGTCTTGCCATTCCTTTTGGTTTGAATAAATTTTATCATCAACTTTTTCGGACAAGCTCTTAGCACTTCAATCTGTGCATGACGGGCTGGCTGACACAGTAAGTAAATTTCTATGTTCTCTCCTACGACACTATTTAATTAATTATACTTTCGAAAAGCGAAATCTGAGATGAATAAATAACTGTCAAGCTTTGCGTTTCAGTTGCTGATTTGATCTACTGGCGCGACCCTAAGAAGAGCGGTGCAGTGCTGGCCAGCTTACTAGTGCTGCTCCTCTCTCTCGCCTTCTTCTCTGTCATCTCCGTCTTCTCATACACCGCGTTGATGGTACTCTTCGCTGCCATCTCCTTCAGGATCTACAAGAACATCAAACAGGCCGTTCAAAAAACACAAGACGGTCATCCTTTCAAGTGAGTTAATTTTAAGCTATTTACAACTCATGGGAGACTTGAACTTGAGTCCAAGTTCTTTTTGGGCTCTTCATCTCAAGCGAAGGTTCTGGCGTGCACATCTTTTCCACGATCCAATGGTATTTGTGCAACTCGTTCCACGTCCATAATTTACTTCGCTCTTTTCCTGATACCGAGCACCAAGTATGGATTCAATACAATAAATTTGTGCACGATTACGACTGTGCTTAACAACTCATAACAAGAATAATTAAATCTGTAGCGTGTTAGCAACTTTATTCGAGAATTACGTGGTGAATGTTTGGCTGTTGTTCCCCTTCACAAGAAACCCTTGTGAAGGAAGTTGGTGGTATAGTTTTAAAATAATGGTTTTCTATCACTCCCGTCGTCTGAGTTGGTTCGAGCTTGTCGACATAAGCCGTGTCCATGGAGCTAGCATGCTTCCTACATTAAGGATGTTATAATACACGCTACGTTTTTCCATACCTTCGCTTGTCCATTTCTTCTAAATGCACTTCAATATTCATTCATATTGAGTTCATGCATAAGTATTATTACTACAGCAATTTTAGGTGTCTGTGTCTTAGAATTTGCCACTAACGAAGCATTACCGGAGCTCATGAGGTTCTCGTGTCCTCCGCCTCGTGTCTGGACTGCAGTCTCGCCTGTTGCAGTGTCAGGTGTTACTTTGGGTCCTCTTTGTGTCTGTCTCGTGACGTCTTCACCTTCTACTCAGGCAGAGAAGTCTTGAAAGAAAAGAAATGAAGTGAAGAGTATGTAGAATTTTGATAGTCATTTTTTCATGATTTCTCCCATTTTTATTGGTCGAATGCTACATAAAGGTTCCGTAAAGTTGCCTTGTCTATATACTAAATATTAACCGTTAATGTGTAGTAGCATATTAATTTCATGTTATTTTCTGCGCTGATAGTTAGTGGGTGTAGTTTTTCTAATTTCGTGGTGGTAAGCTGGTCTCAGCCTGTGGGTGGCAGGTGGCACCGGTTGAACATTACTGTGTGCATGCAGCGCCGCTAGCCGGCTGTAGGTGGCAGCAAAATCGAGCGTCTCGAGGCTACATTATTTTTAGCGCCCTGTCTCTGCAATGACACCAGAGCTCTTGATCGTGTACGCGTGTGCAAGGCATATCTGTGCATCGTGTGCGTGCTTGTGTTCTCATTCAACGCGTGTGTATTTCTCTTATGTAGTAGGAAATGAACACTGCTCCTAAGTTGTGTGTGCGTGCTGCTGTTCTCCCACGTGAGCATTTCTGCGCTCGGGTGATGAGAAACGCTCACGGGTTCAAAATTCTGTGTCACATGTCTGGCGCAGTTACTGTGCATTCGGTGACACGTTTCTGCTGACCGTATGGGTTCAATAAAAAGTAAAGCAAGTCAAGCTAAATTGCATGCGAAGCTGATAGTTCGTTATACATATATGCCTGGTGTATAAATCTCAATGCAGGATTGTGGTATAGTTTTTTTCAAAGAAAAAATTATTTTTGTTGAAATATCGCAGTTAATTAATTGGCAGCATGCATTATTTTCACGAATGATTGTTGAAACAGTCTACTTGCTGGATATTTTCTACTGTTTGTTTTTAGCTAACATTGAAGAGTAGGTAAGGAATTTGTGTACTAATGAGGGTTAATACTTAACCTCCTGTAAAAGACTTCCACAGTCTTGGTTAGAATTGTTCTCATCCACGGTAAGCTATCCTATTTAATAGAATTTATCGTTCGTGCCATGATGTTCTAAAGATTCATTTCCGTTCTCAATACTTTTTATCAAAATTTTTCTAGCTTACTGACTTATTCTAGCTTATTCTCCGACTGAATTTTTTCCCGAGACATTATAGGAACTCTGTCGACAATGTGAACTAAGAGAAAGAAGTAAATCAATGTTATTATATTTGAAATGTACCTGACTTTAATATCACTCATTTTCCAGAGAATACCTGTCCGTGGACGTGTCTCTGCCTGCTGACCACGTGCACAGTGCTGTGGACGTCTTGCTTTCGCAGCTCAACTCGACGCTCGCTTACCTCCAGAAAATCTTCCTCGTTGACGACCTCATAGATACTTGCAAAGTGCGCCCGAGTGTCCATGCAATACAACAATGCATTTATATTAAATAAAATATTCGCGTCTGTTATTGTGTAATTGCCAGGCACGCCACTTGGTTTCATAATTTGAATATAATTTTGCTTCGATTTGAAAAGTTAAGAGTTCATAGCATGTTGGGCTCCATGGAATGCTTTAGCTGGTGATATAATGTATATAGTACATACTATATATATATAATTAATCTTATAGATTTTATTATTCTCATCGTTGTTGAACTATTATGTAGAATTTAAAAGCTGACCTGAGTTTTACTGTCTTTTGAATGTCAAATTTGGCCATCACCTGTTTCTATAAAACGCTCATTTCAATCCAGGTTATAATATATTTCGTTAATTAATTAATAATTAATTTTTAGTATGGCACAAGAAGCCTTTGTGAGCAAAAGTATCCTTATATTCAGTTATAATACACGAAAGCATCATTATGAATCCGAATTTTCATTTTTAGAGTTCAACCATAATTGGGATATTATAGGTACTCGAACATCGTGAAGAATTGTTTCTTATCACAATGACTTCAGCATCGTTATTTATCTTGTGACTTCGATGCTCTCAGTTCGGGTGCTACTTGTGGGTGCTGACTTACATCGGTGCGTGGCTTAACGGCCTCACGGTGATCATCCTACTCGTCATCGCGCTCTTCTCCATCCCTAAAGCCTACGAGCAGAACAAGTCGCAAGTCGACCAGTTCCTCGGCAATGTGCAGCAGCAAGTGAACCAAGTGCTTGAGAAGTATGTTGTCATTAGTATTAATAAGATAACAAGTCTCTCCTACGGCTGTTCGTTTTTTAACAGTGCTGCACTCGTTCATGCATGTTTGGAGAAGTATTCGATACATTAGTTAATACGGAATGTAGTTTGTGCAGGCGCTGGGTGTTTATTTGTACTTCGAGAGCAAGAGGAGAACCGAGATAGCTGTTGCAGTCTGAGCGTTGCAATATGTTTACATGAAACAGCATTACGTTAACAATAAATTTAACAATTAATGGATTTCTCTAATATCAAAAAAAATGTGGGATCACAAATAGATGGTTAATAAAATTCATGAATATAAATGATTGGTTTAGCCAACGTTAAGACGCACTTTAAATTAAAATGTTGGACGTTGGTAATTAATGTGGTGCTGAAAAGTACTAAATGTGGCTAATTATTTTGTTTTCGTGCTTATTTATCTAACGATTGTTTACAGGATTAAAGCCGTAATTCCTATTGGCGGCGGTGGCGGCGGCAACAAGGAGAAGGATCAGTAAATTTGCCAGCGTTGATTCAGTCGAGGCTGCTCACCTTGTGGACCTCAGCCCCTATGCCACTGACTGCGTCTTGTACTGGAAACAAGCGTCAGCGTCCCAGCGTCTCTTGGTCAAACCATCAATCTCATTGTCACTCATTTCTCTTGAATTTTGCATATGCTGAAAGTGGCTTTAAAAGACGGGCAGTTCGACGTTCATTATTATACGAACTTCTTTCATGTAGTAACAGTTGTATCTGGAAGCCCGCTGGCATGTAATTGTTAAAAAACAAGTTGTAAATGTTTTTACTTGATCTTCGCCACTATACAAAAAATCATCACAAGTGGGTTTCAATACCTGCAAACTAATTTTAAATGATGGCGTTTTCAGAGAGATCAGGCAAGGACACAAAGTGCTCAGATAAATAGGCTAAATTTGATTACCATCCGTACGGAGAACTTCGTGATGGAAGTATGATGCATGTATACAAGTCGATTTGTATCTTTACTCCTTCTATGACATGTATGTATAAAAGATCTCCTGTATCATAACCCACTATTGCACTTTTCTTGTTCGGTATTATTTCATTACTAAAATTGAAATATTCTATCGGTATTTGTTTGATTTTTATAGCTATTATATTCATGTTCGCTGTTATATCAGGGAGCTTGATATTCTAAATGTAATGTTACTACACAAGCCTAAACCTCTGAGAAATAGAGGGAATGCTGCACCTCGTGGTGCTTTAGTTGCTGTTTGAGGCTCCTGTGTATGTGAACGCGAAGTTCATTCATTGAAATTTGTAAGAAGTTGGTGTGTGAAACAGCCTCGTACTGCTTACGAGATTCGTAAAGCGCGTTTTTTCACTGTCGCTATTTGTCATTTTACAGTTAATTTTCATGTATTTCTGGATATATGTTCCGTTGCAATTTTTCTGAAGCGACTACTGATCGATAATTCATCGACAACTCAGTGCTGTCTGCAAAAAGCGTCCCTGTGATTGCCTGTTGAGAGATCATTTACCCGGGTTATGACGGTTTCAGATAAGATTTTTTTATGTTAATTACTTATGTCCAGTATTTTATTGTGCACTTAGAGTGAATTATACGAGTCACTATATCAGTCGTGAATGATTGCTACTGTTTTTGTACGTATATGTCGGATTCTTGTCATGAGCTCTTAAAGTCTTGAGACTAAGCCCGAGCCATCTGCAAGGTATTGGATCAATTGAGATGCTGCATGTAAATCACACCAAATGATCCTTTGTGAGATCATTAGTAGTTCCCTACAAAATAATCTTTAGTTTTCACGCGACGTGTTGTTAAGGATTAGCTGCCTCCTGTTCTAGTTGGTACTTTGCCTCGTGATTGCTGTCAGTTTAATAGGATATGATTCATGTATTTAATCGCTTCCATTTCGTTAACGCGATCTTTCCGAGAAATTTAGAGAAATTCGCTCGTTTCAACTATGTATGATTTTTTGCCGCTCTCCTCTCTATTGTTTTAAGTGAAGATTTAAAGTGATTCTAACTGACTTTCATTTCCCGTTTTGGACAGTGCATCGTAGTTTCATTCAAACTTTTTGCTCCATTGCTACTGAGCGTCCCACCACAGTTTACGGTGCCTGACTGCTAGTCTCATTTATGGGGTCAATCATGTAGACAGGATTCCTTACAATTCCTTTTTATGTCTCGTGTGGGCGGCCAATGTCCCGTGTAAGCGGCGTTTTGATCGTGTGTCTTCCCCCTCAGGGGGGACTTCTGAGACTAGTCTAGTTCCCCCCTCAGTGGGGACTTCTGACACGCTAAAGAGTTAACAGGAGTCAATAAAATTTCTTCGTAAAGGTAAACGATGCTTTTTTTCTACAAGCAAAGTGGGAAAGAACTGAGAAAGGCTAAGAGAATAGATCACCACTGCTCGCAATGTAATTAGTAATGTTACTGCCTTATCATCTATTGGGTCGTACACGTCCATTGCGGTGCTGATTCCGTATCTAATTTAAATAACATCCTCAATCTTCTAAAAATAGAAGTAGGCGGGGCCGAAGCCCGTTAGGCTTTAAAACAAACAGTGACGCCCCGGAAGAGGAAGACCAGTTTATCACCAATTGTTTCCCTCAGTGATCGAATAACTTGATGGTTCTTGCTTACCTCTAGACCTCAATTTTTAAGCAAGAAACCATATTACATTGACTTGCTCTGAGAGATTATGAGATTGAGGATAGTGAAAAACATTACTGAGCTTGATCTGCTAACATGAAGCCACCGAGCCCGTTCGCCGGCTTCGTCTTCGTGGAGCACTCGAAGTGCGAACGTCCGCATAAACAATATTGCTGGTATCGGAAGAGAAAGGAATGTTCATGTTGAGAACAAAGCTTCATCAGTAAGAAAGTGCAGTATGCATCAAATTACAGAAAAATAATTGAACAGTTGAAATTGTGACTCTTAATAGCGTTTCCACAATTGAAATTACCTTTCCGGGGTACCGGATTGTCAGGTTACTTCCTATTCATGACCTAGCTCTACTTGAATGCCGAAGACCACCACTGCCCTGGATGTAATGGACCATCATGATTCCTGCCTTCCGGAACGTAGCCTTCAACACTTCAAGCCATCCGTATCTAGGCCGTGCGTCGTACCAGCCCTCGGTCGAACGGCCACTGGTCGAAGGACGATAAATTTTGGAACAGAACTATGCTATCTGAACCTACCAGCGGTTGCTGTGAACGTAAAATTACGTAATTTAACGATGCCCGGAAGTCATATTCGATCCGCGGCCTGGTGGTGCACGGCAGGTTTTATGCGAGGCCGGAGGAAGACAAAGCCGAGTGGTTCACGGCTGATTGGTGGATGTCCGGAGAGATCCAAGGCATTCGATTCAGGGCTTATTAGTGCACCAAATTGGTGGTGCACGGCTGCGCTCCCCTACACAATAGTGCCGTAATCAATCATTGTACTGAACTCACTTATCTGTCTGTATCAGGATCCCCGTGTCTTACCTTAAATAAGTATTAAGGAAAAACCAAAGGAATTCTCTTATTATCCTTGTTGTATTTATTTGACATTTTAGAACTCATTGGACCCGATGAATTATATATAATTAACTAATTCGTATATGCTCTACCGAAAAGCCCGAAAAAAGTGGCGCCCAAAACAGAAGTGATACAAGTGAGGTGACAATTTTTATTAGAATTGTGAATTGAGTGAATCCTTAATGGTGAAGTCGGAAAGTGACACCGACTCGGAAAGTACTTCATCTAAATTCTAAACGACCGGTTCGAGCGAAACGTGCTCCATCACGCTATAGTGATAGTGAGTTCAAGAAGAAAGTACATAAACAAAAATCCGAGAAGATAGATCAATCTTCGGCGATAACTCAATTAAGCACCCACTGCTCTTGCAACAACTCTAACATCGGTAGCTCCGACGACGGATTCAGCGATGATTCCTCGACCTTCAATGCAGTACGTACCATCACCACAAATACCTAATTTTAGATGTGTTGTTTTCGAGGGCGAACCGCCTGCAGCACCTGATACTCCAGAAGTTGCTGTCAAAGCTTGGCTTGACCTAATGGAATTCCATTTAAGTCGACAGGACAAACTGACGACGAAGGTAGAATCATGCAGCTCATGCAACGTACTCATAAGAAATTGGGAGACGCACGTGGAGTAGTTCTTCGTTATCTCAGTACAGATCATGTTGGGTTCACATGCGCGGAAGCAAAGGAGGACCTGCTAAAGACGTACTCAAGCGTCGCTACAGTTTCCTTCGTAGATGCATTCTGTGAGTTGTTAGATGTCGCCCTCTCCGCTAAACCCGGGAAAGTTAACGTATGTAACAATATATCAGCGTTGCGTGACGCTTCGCTTAAAGTAGCGACTACATTCGTCCAACGCGCCTGTGACAACGCAGCAGAACACCGATCATTAGTCGATATACTAACTGAGGCTTTCTTCGCCATGTCTTCAAGTAATGTTTTCTCCAAGCGCGTCATCACGGAAATTTTGCTAAAACGCAAAGAAAATATGAAAGTCGCTGGGGCTTATCAAGCATTAACGCATCATTGTAACACCTCAGAAAAAGAAGTATATCGGATAAACCCGACAAAAATCGTCAGCAAACTTCATGCAGAGAAGAAGAACACAACGTCAGCAACATCATCGCCATCGACGGCCGATGAAACGACGGCCGCACACGCTACTACTTCACACTATGGTCGCGGTTCCTACCGGCGAGGTCGTAGTCGGGGTCGAAGATATAACAACCGCGGCCGCGGAGGATATCAGCGCTATCAACAGGATACCTACAATGGACCATCCTACGGACCCCCGAATAATTCAAGAGGCGGCTACAATAACACCAACTCCAGGCGCCAGGACCAAGGTCGCCGCCCGGAAGTTGAGTATTACATTAACGATATTCGCTGTAGAATGTATCCTACAAATAATAATGTTAATTTCACAGGTTTAAATGCTGTCAACAAATGATACGAGGCTAGGGAGGTTTCCGAACCTTCCCTCGAGTGTTTAACTGCAGCAATTACCTAACAAAATTGTTGAAAGTGTCGCCACGCAAAATAACATGTGTTCTAATTTTAAATTAGCACATAGCCAATGTTCAAACTACTGTGAGCGATTACAACCAGAATCGAATTTTATTATCTCGGATGGACGCATGTATATCGTTAATCAATCCGGAAGCTCGGTGAAAAACTTGTTTCCTACCGAAGTAAGTAATTTGAATTCTAATAACGAACTGAAGAGTTCAACAGCACAAATGTCCACGACTCAGCTGAATGAGAGTCTTAACTCAAATCCTGTGAGGTTAGAGTCAGACTAAAGTCTCGAGAAATTACGTTCTGTCTCTGAAAATACCGCTCTCTCTAATGCAAATAATGCTGATGAAAACAGTGTAACCAACATTGTAGATACAAATGGTACTGAACCCATATGGGGAAAATTGTTTGCTCTGTCATTAAAGATAAACAGTCATCGATCAAACTATTCGATGAAGCAGGTAACAACGATAATATTCGTGTACCTATTGTCAAACTCATTGCCTTTCCTTTCCTCGATTCCTTTCTCGACACAGGCTCAAATGTAACTTTAATTAAAATTAGTGCGATCAATGAGAACGCTTAAATTAAACCGACTAATGTCTCAGCCGTGTCAGCGAGTGGCGATGAAATAAAGATAGAAGGCGAAACCGAAATAATTGTGCAATTGCCAAATGGTAAAAATGTACGTTTAAATGCCTATGTCGTTGAAGACAACAGTAGCTTTCCTTGTAAAATCTTGATCGGCATAGATCTCATGGTTAAATCAAAAGCAGTGGTTCCCAAAGTGGGCGATAGCGCCCACCTAGGGGCGGTGGAAAGATTTTGGGGGCGGTAAGGAAGAAGAGGGCGGTAGGGAGCAAAATGGTGGGCGGTAGTCCGAAGTCAATGTGCAGCACACGACTCCCAGCGATGGTTTTTTCACCCAGATCTGTTTTTAACATCTCCTGAGTTTACGTCTCGGACAAATTAACGGCCAGACTCGCGGTCGGTCTCACGACCAATTTACAAATTCAATTATCAAGGAATATCTCTCAAACTAATGAACTTAACTCGATGAAACTTGGTACACGTATTCATTAGGACCTAACAATAATGTTTTGCTCGTGAAAATTGTTTTTATTTTGCCATCGTTTGTTATTGCCGTAGTTATATGAAACTACGGGCCGAAATTCGCAGTGATCAAGAAATTTCTTCCAAACTACTGAAGAGATTCGAACGAAATTTTGAATTTACAGTCCTTACTACCGAACGGTAATGTTTAGCTCGTGAAAAATTTTTCGATTATGCCTTCGTTCGCGATTTTTTTTATTCATTTCGCCTTCATTCGTGATTTAAACAGCAATACGTGCTTAAATTCGCAGTAATAAAAAAATAGTTTCCAAACTACTGAACAGATTTGAACGAAACTTCGTATTTAAATACCTAACCTCAGCAATGGTGATGTTCACAATTTTTTCGTTTTGCCTTCGTTTGCGAGTTATACGACTATACGTATAAGGCTGGTTAAACCGGCCGGTAGAAAAGCCGGTCGTTCTTCCTATATCTGCATAACTTGCGAACGAAAGCAAAATAGAAAAATTTTCACGAGCTAAACATCATCGTTGAGAGGTTAGGTATTTATAAACAAAGGTTTGTTGAAATCTGTTCTGTAGTTTAGAAGAAACTTCTTGATCGACGCGAATTCAAGTGACAAATTACCCGGCGATACGGGCCGAATCTGAGGGAAGTTGGAGACTGAGGGAAGTTTGAGGGGAAACTGAGGGATGTCTGAGGGATACTATTCGTTTAATTTTGTGCTGACGATTTTATATTTGACTGAGGCTTCCCTAAATGTAGGTAGGGTAATAGGTGATGCTGGTCCGAGTTTCAGTTTATTAGTTTGATGTCAACATGAAAGAAATTTTTGGATCACCGCGAATTTAAACGATAAATTACCCGGCGATACCGGCCGAATATAAGGAAGTGGG